AAAAAAAACGCCCCCAAGATATTAGACAAATCTTCTCGACTTTATTTTGTAAGAAGAAACCGGATGTTACAATGTACAGATATTAGATTATGGTATATTGGCTCATATACCATAATGGCTAAGCCAATAAAAAGTCTTGAATTGCATTATCCAATGATCCAGTTTTTAATAATAATTGAATCAAAACCAATTCTTTGAACTAACATCATGTGAATCATATGGGAGAAAGAAAGGAGAATTTCCAAGGAGATCTTAGGAGTGAAAGAGTTTTAATCGTACTTAGTCTTTAGAGATGCTCTACCACCTTCTCCCTCTCACCATCCTGATACCCCCAGATTAGTTTATAAGGCTTCTAAATTTCGTTTAGAACCTTCCAATATACTTCACGTAAATTTCTACATCAAAACAATCATCTTTTTTAAATTCACTCGGAATGAAAAAAAAATAGACAGTTAAACTAAAACTAATTTTATTTACATACTGCAAAAGTACACTCCTCTTCCAGAAATTGATCGAAAACTGGAAAACCCGTGTTTAAATTCAATAACAATGAACTAATTAGCCTTTTTTTTTTCTATACCGTACGAAATAAAGGACAATATATGTACTATTTTCTCAAATTTTATTTTACTTAGATTGGAATAGATGGAAAAAAGTCTTTCGATGTCATCTTCAATGCATATTTTTTAATGTTAAAAAAAATACCTGAGAAAAGTGACTGATGGTTTCTCTCTGCCTTCATTTTGCTTTGACAAAAAGAAATATTCAATGGTATAATTTTCACACTCTAAAAAAACCCTACAACGGTTTTTCAGATAAACAGGGGATTTTCTCTGCATTTGTTGTCTCTAACTAGTAATGGAACAAATACATCACCTTACGCTCTGCTGAAAGAAATTTTTCTAAATGAGTTGTGTAGGTGCATTTAGCCAGAATAATCCATTACCGTGAATTTGAACACTTTGACAACGCACTCATGAGTAAACGCTGCACAAAAAGCCTCGCCAATATTCACAAGCATTGTCTAGACATTATGAGAAATCATCAAATGAGTCTGAGTTGCAGCGAAGTAAACATGATCAGTTATCCCTAAGTGAACTTGTATAGATTGCTCACGATTTCTTGCTTCAAAAACTGTATATACAAATACTCATTTAGTACAATTAGCCCGCCTAAAAATTGTCCAAGAAAAAAAACGTGTCCATGGCAGCACAAAAGACTGCAAAGAGCTCCACTCTCCTCGCTCGTTCCTACCTTGACCCACGGCCCTCTAAAACTTGCATCCTATTTTTACTGTCAATAATTAGCCCCTTATATTTATGCTTAGATGCGGAAGTCTATTATCCAGTTCATAACTTCTTTTAAATGTCACGGGCACGCTGTTTAGACTAAAGAGCTACAGTCAACTTTCCTAGTTTTCCCAATGTCTTCGCCATTGAAGCGTTTCTTTGAGCTGTGTACGAGTGTTCCTTGCCGAACGACTTGCTTCTGATTTCATGAGCACGCTGTTTAGACTATCAAGCTGATATATAATCACCTAAGGAATCGATAAGGAACGTTTTGTGACGCTCAGAGAATGCTAACTTTGACCCGTGTATCAGTGTTCCCCGCCGAACAACTTGTGTCTAATGTCTAGGGCACGTTGTTCAGATTTCTGAGCTGATGCAAAATCGCCTAAGGAATGCTGTGTAACCCCCAAGGATTGGCAACTTTGAGCTGTGTCTGAGTGTTCCTCGCCAAGTAACTTCCGTCTGATGTCCAGGGCTCGCTGTTTAGACTGAAGGGCTGATGAATGATCACCTAAGGAATGTTCCGTTACGCCCAAGGAATGGTAACTTTGAGCTGTGTCTGGGTGTTCCTCGCCAAACAGCTTTCTTCTAAGGTAAAGGGCTCGCTGTTTAGACTGAAGGGCTGATGTATGATCACCTAGGACATGTTGTGTGACTCCCAAGGCTCCGTAACTTTTGGCTGTGTCTGAGTGTTCCTCGCCAAGCAACTTCCGTCTGATATCCAGGGCTCGCTGTTTAGACTGAAGGGCTAATGAATGATCACCTAAGGAATGTTCCGTTACGCCGAGGTAATGGTGACTTTGAGCTGTGTCTAAGTGTTCCTCGCAAAACAACTTCCTTCTAAGGTCAAGGGCTCGCTGTTTAGACTGATGAGCTGATGTATGATCACCTAAGGAATGTTGTGTGGCCCCAAGAGAATCGTAACTTTGGGCTGTGTGTGAGTGTTCCTCGCCTAGTAGCTTTCTTCTGATGTCAAGGGCTCGCTGTTTAGACTGAAGGGCTGATGTATGATCACCTAAGGAATGTTGTGTGACCGCCAGAGAATCGTAACTTTGGGCTGTGTCTGAGTGTTCCTCGCCAAACAACTTTCTCCTGTTGTCAAGGGCTCGCTGTTTAGACTGAAGGGCTTGTGTATAATCACCCAGGGAATGTTGTGTGGACCCCAGAGAATCGTAACTTTGGGCTGTGTTTGGGTGTTCCTCGCCAAACAGTTTTCGTGTGATATCTAGGGCACACTGGAAGGACTGAAGAGCTGATACAACATCACCCAAGCAATGTTGTGTAGCCCCCAGAGAATGGTAACTTTGAGCTGTGTCTGAATACTCTTCACCGAATAACTTTCTTCTGATGTCAAGGGCAAGCTGAAAAGACTCAAGAGCGGATGTATGATCACATATGGACTGTTGTGTGGCCCCCACAGAATCGTAACTTCTGGCTGTGTGTGAGTGTTCCTCGCCGAACAGCTCTCTCCTAATGGCAAGGGCTCGCTGTTTAGACTGAAGGGCTGATATGTAATCACCTAGGGAATGTTGTGTGGCCCCAAGAGAATCGTAACTTTGAGCTGTGTCTGAGTGTTCCTCGCCTAGTAGCTTTCTTCTGATGTCAAGGGCTCGCTGTTTAGACTGAAGGGCTGATTTATGATCACCTAAGGAATGTTGTGTGGCCCCCAGAGAATAGTAACTTTGGGCTGTGTCTGAGTGTTCCTCGCCAAACAACTTTGTTCTGATGTCAAGGGCACGCTTTGCAGACTCAAGAGCTGATGCATGATCACCTATGGACTGTTGTGTGGCCCCCAGAGAATCATAACTTCTGGCTGTGTCTGAGTGTTCCTCGCCAAACAGCTTTCTTCGGTTGTCAAGGGCTCGCTGTTTAGACTGAAGGGCTGATGTATTATCACCTAAGGAGTGTTGTGTGGCTCCCAGAGAATCGTAACTTTGTGCTGTTTCTGAGTGTTCCTCGCCACGAAGCTTTCTTATGATGCCAAGGGCTCGCTGTTTGGACTCAAGAGCTGATGTATAATCACCTATGGACTGTTGGGTGACCCCCAAGGAAAGGTAACTTTGAGCTGTATCTGAGTGTTCTTCGCCGAACAACTTTCGCCTAATATCCAGGGCACGCTTTGCAGACTCAAGCGCTGATGCATAATCATCTAAGAAATACTGTGTGACCCCCAAAATATAGTAACTTTGGGCTGTGTCTGAGTTTTCCTCGCCAAACAACTTTCTTATGTTGTCCAAGGCACGCTTTGCGGACTCAAGAGCTAATACATAATCACCTGACTTGAGATGTGAAACTACAGTTGAAATTTCGTTCGTCCAGAGGCTTCTTGGTGAACAAGCGTTTTCTTTCCGTTTCCTTTCTCGGTCAACAACATCTATAGACAGTGAGGAAGTATTCTTAGTTAGGTTAATGGATGTCACATTCTCCGTGTAAATTTCGAACAAAAATAATGATCAAAGACCTCTTACTGTGCTATGTACTTAGGGATATTCATATTTATTTCAAACCCTTTAGTGATGTTCCCCCTTTGAGTGGCTTGAGAACATAATATCATTTTGAGGAATATTTCATAAATAACGAATTAGTCAAACGTAAATAAATTTTCACGCAACTAAGGAAAAAACACTTGAGAGAAACTCTCTTTTATTCAGTTAATAACTGTTGCTGATCAGGCTACATCCCCGCCCCTAAATAAAACCTTATGAAAATCAATCGTTCCCTGGGGAGATAGTGGTTAATTATCAGGCAATTATGGTAAAAAAAAATAAGAAGCCGTTCACGATTTTTCCCTTTTAGAGCTCCGCACACATCAAGCAAGGCAGTTATAATTGTTATGAAGTTCCCAGCATTCTCTAATAAAGGTTAGAACCCTGACGAGCCTTAGTTTAAAAAGCCACAGGGATATACATTAACAGTTAAACCTTGTGCCTACTTTACAACTTTCTTCTGGACATGAACACAGTTTTATGTTTTAATAGAACTGACATGGTTTTAAAGTTTATTTACCTGCCACCATCTTCAGCATGTCGTCTTTAGTTGCCATAGCTTCCATTTTCAAGGCCATGGCATTCACACCTGAGCTGATGCCCTCCAGTTGATGCTGCTGTTGTTGAAGGAAACTTACATAAGCTCGATATTCCTCTTTGATACGTTCTTCTAGTTTACGAACCTCATTTGTGGGAAATTCTGACTCTGTTAAACCACTTATGCCATCAATAAGGTCCGTTTTGACACCAAGAGCTTTAAATGCGTCTTTAGCGTGCTGCACGTACTGGTCAAAGGTGGCTTTAACAATTTCAGAAGTGTGTGAGTGACAAAGCGAATTTCTTAAAAGTCGAAGCTGATCAATCGCGAGTGCAACCGTTTCAGCATTGTTTCCACTCGGGCTGGTCATCGATGCATGGAACACTCCATGAGCCAGTTTTCGAGGTTTCACAAACAGCTCACCAAGTGTCTTGTGATGACCTCCACTGTCGGGCAAAGCAAAGGACTTGGCGTAGATGGTGGCCTGGAACAGCGCGGTACAATCCCATTCTTCACAGGAGACTTTTGTGGGAACTTTGGTTTTGCCAGGGCCACCCTCTGAAGTAAGAAATAAGTTTCTAACCGCAGTGGAGTCATCCCACACTTGATGACCGGGAAGATGTGTCAAGCTGTTGTCCCACATGGACTTGAACGTCTGACGTAAGGCTTTTGGGAACTCATTGAGAGCAATGGAGGCAAATTTGAAATAGTTTAACTGCTCTTCTCGAAATGGTTGTAGCTCCATTTTGTTTTAGTGGCAGTCTCTGAGGCGATAAACCATGCCTTTTTAAATCTTGGTAATCTAAAGAACGGTATGGATTGGCAACTGATTAAATAATCTCAATTTTATTTATTTTAAAGACCATGGTACTCTTACAGAAAATTTATTGGTTATATATTTGTATTGGTTTATATATTTAGCAATTATAAGGCATTTTAATTGAAATGGTATTTTCAGTAGAGTTCTTAGATCATTACATTTACATGTACTCGGTATAAAACGCTACACATTCGTTCCGGCATTAATCTTCATATTGCCGTAGATGCACTGTAGTGACATTTTCAAATTGCCTTTTATTCAGAGATTGAATTATCTATTGGGATACTTTATATTGCACATCCAGTCATTTAAGACAAAGCCATGTTTTCATAATTTGATCGGAAGTAGGATATTGCAGTAAAATGTTAACGACGACTTTGATGCTGTGAAACTCTGACCCTCAGTTAAAAAACAACGTTTCTCAAATGCACGGGGATGTTATCAGCCAACAAACTAAGGGAAGAACGCACTCAAAGTTGTTTTTTTTTTCACGGAAGATGGCTGTTTGATTCACAGATATTCAAGACTTGTACAATACATACATGTCAGTGCCCTGGTTTCGATTTTTTTGCTAAAGAGATAACGATTTTTTTTTTACTCATCAACGTTACAATAAAATTAAAATTCTCTTCGCCGTCACTGTTATCATCAACTCCTTGAGATCTGTCATATTATACAAATTTAATCATTTGGTGTAAGAACGTCATCGCAAACAAAGTTCATTTTGTGGACCCCACAAGGTTTTGCTTGACATGCCATGGACAACTGGATGTGAAATCAGTCACATGAAACTACGAAATTGCATCAAAATTGTTTACTCGGCATAGAACTAAAAACAAACCTTAATTGAAGATTGTAGGGTAGAAGCTGTGGCAAAATAACCCCTTTCCTTTTACAAACAAAGCATGCAAAGTCAACCGGAAAAATGGGATAATTGTTAGCCACGGCTCCAACAAAATCACCGTACCCTGTCGCATAAAATAAAAGCGAATCAAAACCGGCGACTTACATAATCTAACTACGTGGACATATAAGGTCTTCACTCTTCAGATAGGTTTACTGCTCATTCTCACCAACATACAAACTTGAGATTTTCTTTGCCGTCAGTGACATTTTGCACTTGAGCTTCTATTGACAACTTATGTGCAACCAGTCGTAACAAAAATTAAAACGCAGCAGTGACTGACCATTCTTCGTTCAAAATTAAATACTGAATATTTGAAAGTGGGTGCATGGCGTTAGCTGTTGTGTACTCTGCGAGTTTTTGTTTTGTTTAGTTTTGTTTGTTTTTTTTTGCATAACTACCCCGCACTCAATTTCACAAATTTACATTCATTTCCTTAGCTGTTTTGTCCAAGTCAACACTAATTTCGCTCTTAACACGATTTACTTATCAACTTGTAGTTAAAAATCCTTCAAAATCCTCCAGCAACAGTAAGACAACAATGATACGAAAATGCTTGTAAAAATGGAAATGTCGAGGTATAATCTTCTTGTCGAGAAAGATTACTCATCTCATAGGTAAAAATCCTCTACCAGATTGCCTGACGATGTGCAATTTTTTTTAGAGATTCCGCAACTGAAAATTTGGCCAAAAACCATCTTCTATTGTACCAGTAAAACAAAAAGCTAATATGGAAACAGCAATAAATTGCAGTTTCTGAGCCTATAGAAAGTACAGCTATTGCTCAGTAAAATACAAGTTCTTTTTATCGTCGTCGCAGAGTTTTGCCAGACACCTTGGACAATTGCATGTGAAATCAGTCGTTTGAAACAACCGAGTAACTCAGCTTTAAACTTGAATCAGTTCTCAGGTATTGTGTTGAAATAGCGGGCTGTGCTTTTAAAAACTTTAGTACTAGTGAGAATCTGAAGAACTAAGCCTTGCACTCTTGAATGTAAAACCTGAGTTTGGTGCGGGAATTAAGTTAGACAACAAACGATGCATGTTTTGAAACTGAAAGTGATTCAATAAGCAGAACCAACATCCATCTCTTAGCCACTTAACACAATTTTTGAGCTTAAAATGAACCACGAAACAGTGTTATGTCTCATTACTACCTTGAAAACAAACAAGCAAACTGAACCTCCACAACATTCGACGAGATTTATACGACAATCAATTTTTCGAAGCATATCGATCAATTTGAAATAATGGAGTGTCGCAACCTATCGTCTTTCAGTCTTGGAAATTGCAGTTCAGTGGAAACTTTGATGCGTCATCTGTTGACTAAACGAGAAACCTTATTTTTTGAATTAGAATTACCTTATTCGAAGATTGTGGGTTGGAAGCTGTCGTTAAATGGCTTCTTAGGGACAAAAAACTATGAGATGTCGTTCTTGTAGAAGTACGCAAAGTCAACAACTCGATGGAAAATTTGTGAGCAAGAGCTCCACCAACAACTCACTGTACCGTGTCGTAATCGCATGACAGCAGTTCGCTAGTGGTGGTGGCCTGTTGTCATGCAAATAAAAATTTTATACTGCTGATGGTCTTTCAATTTAAGAAAAAAAACGCTCTTAGCAAGCCTGATCTCTCTTGGAGTGAAGTAAATTCACTTAAAAACCAGAAGTGGGTTCGCGCCAAGTTCACGTCGCTACAGAAAATATAGAGTTACATCAGAGTTGTGGACGAAAAGCGCGGCTTTGAGCGGATTATGGATGCGTGTAATCTGTTCTTAACTTGGAAGTACATATTTCTATAAAAAAAAAAAAGAAACAAAGTCATCACAAGGCTTTTGGTTGTGAGGTCAGTCATTGCGAAACGATATGGGTAACAAATTCGAAAACTAGCTCGGGACGAACTTAAAAAAAGATTGAACTTTTCGCGCGTAAAGGAGGGGCGTTTTGCTAAGGGAGAGATAAAAATGGTGGGGTCCCGCTCAGTTTTATGAAAGACTTTCAGAATGATAAGATAATATCATTAGCAATCAAAGTACCGTTTAGGGGTTAAAAGTAGTTAAATTAGAGAAACGCTATCGTCCTTTTCATATAGAATTAAAAGTTGGGATTTTAGAGAGTGTTTAAAATTGGCGCACTTTTGACTGTTGTTCAAAACTCTTTATGTACAACAGAAGTATCCCGTCCTCGTTATTTCCTACAGCCCCCCTCCCTTTAGCGATATTTCCTCGACCGTTCTCTATCAGAAAGCCCACTGTTTTCTCTGTAAGAGAGTCGTTTTCGTTGAATAAATGTCCTTCCAGCCAGCTTTCAGCCTTCCTGACAATTCCGGTTCACGAAAACAAATGCTCAGATGAAAGATTTAACTAAATTCAATATGATTAAGGATCAGGTTTTGTTAAACAACGACAAACTTTAAAAGAGCAACCCATAGCCTTTACTTCAAAGGCGAGGACACTGTGCCGTTTGATTGTGTTAAAATGTAACATGTAGAATGTCCGATAGAATGTCCTTGAATGTCCGATAGAATGTCCGTTTGATTGTGTTAAAATGTAACATGTAGAATGTCCGATAGAATGTCCTTGCGACCTTACCCTAACCCTTCTTTTCATTGAAGTTAGTATAACAAGGACTAATGAACATAGCAGATTTTTCCTACGAGAATTGTGTGTAATAGGACAGATGAAGATGGCCTATGTTTTTCTAATAATGCCTTTATTTAGACACGATAATGTTCAAAGCTGAACAGCTTGTGGGGTCGTGTGTCAATCAAAATGAACTCTAAATTAAATAAATTCAAATGATGATGGTTTATTGAGGAGAGGGGAAAACCGGAGTACCCGGAGAAAAACCTCTCGGAGCAGAGTAGAGAACCAATAAACTCAATCCGCTTATGACGCCGGGTCCGGGAATCGAACCCGGGACACATTGGTGGAAGGCGAGCGCTCTCACCACTACGCCAACCTTGGCGAAGTGGTCTGTAGTTTTCTTAGGTCTGTAGTTTTCTACTTTGTCTTTAGCTCCTTTCTTGTAAAGTGGAATAACATTTGCTGTTTTCCAGTCGTCGGGAAGTACACCACTATTAAATGAAGTATTAAACAGAGCACACAAGGGCGAGGCTAGTGAGTTACTACAATGATTCAAAATCCTTGGATGAATGCCATCGGGGCCGCAACTTTTATTGGCATTTAATTGCCGCAATAGCTTTCTAACTTCAACGGGAGTAGTTGATAGCTGCGTTAGATGTTCAGTTCCTACAACTTGCGGGAAGTTTGGAAGATGAGTCAAGTTTTCTGATGTAAATACAGAGGCGAAATAGTGATTAAAACTGCCTGCAATGTCTTTGTGATCGGTCAGAGTCTCTGTATCTACTTTAAGTTTCACGAGGTTGTTTGTTCCGTTCCGGTGCGAGCGAACATAGTTCCAAAACAATTTGCTATCGCCCTTCGTTTGCAGTTTTGACACTTATTGGCTATAACTCTCTCGTGGTGGCCATAACTCTACTATGGCATTAATTAAATGTCAACACACATGGTTAAAGTGGCTTGATGGTAACGCCGATTTTGTCAGAATTTTTTCCTTTGACTTTAGTAAGGCCTTCGACTCTGTATCACACAATTCCCTCTGTAGTAAATTAAAGCAAGTTAACATTAATCCATATATTATTAATTGGCTTATTAGTTTTTTAAATCATAGAAAGCAGAGAGTTGTTGTCGATGGTCATAGTACTGAATATGTTTCTATAAATAGGGGTGTTCCTCAAGGTACAGTCCTGGGGCCGGTCTTATTTTCTATTTTTATTAACGATATCAAAGCTGTTAATACTAATAAGAATCTTCTAGTTAAATTTGCTGATGATATAACTATTAGTTTACCAATCGAGGCAAATGTAGGCTTAGATGAATCCGAAACGGAAATCCTATCCTTTATTGAATGGTCCGAGAAGAACTGCATGAAAGTCAACTTGACGAAAACATGGGAACTTCTTTTACGAGGAAAGACTTCCAAGACGCCTCCTGAACCACTCGAGATCATAGAGAGGAAAGAAAAACTGAAACTATTGGGTGTTACCTTTGAGCAAGTGCCAGTTAATTGGGACACTCATATTGATTACCTACTTAGTAAGGCTAGCAGTAGGTTGTATATTTTGAGAATATGTAAATATTATGGCTACCCTATTGAGAATTTGGACTTACTTTTTCAAAGTTTGATTCTTTCAGTTTTTACATATGCTATTGAGGTCTGGGGGTGTGCTTTTTATAGTAAATATTTAAGTAGAATTGATAAGCTCTTTGCCAGGTGTTATAAGCTGGGTTACTGCTTAAAGCAACACAGTATCTTGGATATCCGTTGTAATAGAGATAAGAAATTATGGCAAAGGATCTCTTCCACCAACACTGCGTTGAGCGATCTCTTACCTCCCCAGAGAACACGGCAGTTGAGAACTAGGTCGCATAATTATATTTTGCCTAAGGT